CAACACTGATTCGTCATCAGCAACGCCGTGTTGATCGATGGGCTGAACCTTTCGAAGCTAAGTTCAGTTGGCCCTCATCAACATCATACCTTCCACCCCACATTGCGACTGGGAAAATACTCCCAGTTGATGCCAGTCCTCTATTTGAAATGAAGGTTTTCCGGTAAATAAGTTGTCTCAAAAGCCATAATGCCTCCGACCCAGTTGGGTTGTTCCCATTGGTGTTTAAGGATGGAGGTTTAGCGGTAGTGTCGGAGTTGATGAAACTGTTGGGGCGGCGTGTGTGTCTGGGGAGGGGACAGGTTCCAGCTAAGTGATATGAATCCTGATGACAGACTGGTTGATTTGAAGTATGCAGACGAAATTGTGCTGCTAAGCGAAATTGCAGGTAAGTTGCAAGCTTTTATGGATAGCTTGACTGCCAGTGTATTCATGTTCGGTATACGTTTTGCACACTCAATGTGTAAATTGCTGCTACAAGACTGGGTTTGTCTGGCACCCGGCCTCACTGTAACATGGGGAAGTAATAGAGCAAATGGATAAGTTTTATAATTTGGGCAGCTACATCTCACCTGGTGGACGCATCACGGATGAAGTGTCAGCTTGCATATAGAAGGCTCGGTTGGCATTTGCTANATCAGTGGCACCGCCGCGACAGCCGGTTATCCGTGAAGGATCGAGTGTACTCTGCAGCAGTTCAGCGCAGAAACTTGGCTACTAAGAAAACACGGTAAAGACCGTTGGTATTTGAGCACCGCTGTCTACGCAGCATTGTACGATTCTGGTGGGGTAACCGGACAAGTAATGCTGAGGTTAGGCGTAGAGTTTTAGGTATTCGCCGTCGTCCTCTTGAGTAAGTGGTCGACCTCCATAGATTACGTTGGTTGGGACATGGGTTACGCATGTCAAGAAATAGGTTGCCACGGCGCGTGACGTTTGCCGAGGCAGGCAGTGGGTGGAGGAAAGCCAAATAAACTCTGTCTCAAGGGTATAAAAACCCTAACCAGGCGAATCGATCATATAGGTCCCGTTAGGCTTCCTTGATGGGGACCTCGGAATCATTCTAATTAATGGTTAGAGACACTGAGTGATATGGCGGAATGTCGTAAACAGTGGTGTTGGTGTATCACAATTTCCTTGCTTCATCTAGCTGAATTCGTGATACTTCTGTTCGTCCTTGCTCGCCTCTCGTGATGTGATTTCGATTCAATTTATTTATTTCTGATGTTCAACCACTCAGATGTATGCGAAAAATTCCGCATTACGTCGACCTCTACAGTCTGTTGTATTACGTTTTATGGTCCGAACTGCATACATGCTAAACCCTACTGGCATAAATGACAGTAGTCACGTTATAAATCATGCATTTCATTCTTCTCTGCACCGACTATCCGCCAAAACTGTCGCTCTTTTGTTTATTATTCCAATGCGTTTAGTTACATCCGGGTGGCGTTGCATCAATGTCTGTGAATAGACATGAAGGAGGGATTGAATACTAACCTTTTATCCGAAAATCGCTGAATCTTTAGGCCTCGCGCAGCAGTTACATTTCTAGTGTTGTCATATTGTTTTCATCCCGGCTGCATTTTCTCCCCTAGACGAAGTCCTTTTGAGAGACCATTTTCCTCATGATCCATAAAACACTTTCTCCAGTGTTTACTGCCACTCGCTGTTCGTATTGAATTGCTTGTGGTTTCTTCAGGATGCAATCTGTGTTGACTGAATTTTCAGCTTTCTGTGTCGTTATTATTACAGATATTCTGAACAATTGGAAGTTGAGCAGTAATAGTTCTCGAAGGTTAACTTGATTAGGCAAGTGAATACGCGCAAAGTTCATTGCGGGTAGACAAGTAAACGCCATAAATATGGATGAATAGAATCGCGATCACAAGATTTATCGGAGTATAAAACTTCAAAACGTGCTCGCGTGAACACTGCTATATACAGTTCTTTAGGTAAAGGATGTGAAACGTCCCTAAGTACAGAAAAGTTAAATTCGTTAGTTGCATTACTGTGTCTATTAAAAATATTATGTACAAGGATAATTCTAAAAATTCCAATACATTTTGATGGGCTTTTTAAGGATATTTTCGGAAGAATGAAACCTTTGCAAGCAAACCAGGAGAAATAACTGATGAACAATGCAACCAGTGGAGAATACTGTAAGCTTTTCCAGACTGAAGGTGGTGGTTATCCGTTTATCAAGTCAATCCAAATAAAAATAAACTTTTGGACTCAATTGATTGAATTTCCAGCTTTTTTAATGGGGTACGATAGGGACGTATGTACAGTAAATGGCGTAAAATATGGAGCGATCTTCGGACAACCGTATTTATCAACGGAATACTTTAGTGTTAATAACACAGCGATGTCTATAACCCTATAACACTGTCGCTCACCATAACATTCATAATAAAACAACACATGGCGCATCGATTTTTCGATACACCCCTAACATCATTTGGTCACGATGTGTTAAAAAAAGGAATACTTTAGTGCTTGTCAGTAGTTATGTTAAATGGAGTCCGTCGTTGTTATGCACGTGTGGGTTTTTTGCATACATTTTAATGTTCACGTATTTGTTGTGAAATGGTTGATTTAATTTAATTCAAGCCAGTGCTTCAAATGTTCAATCCATATCTCATTGGTTTCTCAAGTACCTGCAACACACTAAGACTGCTTTAATTATAAATCTCCCGAAACTGCAAAACAGTAATTTTAACCATTTTTTAGATTGATCGATTGCGTACCTCGATGGCGGTATTTTATGCCGTCATATATTTTCAATAACTCTTCTCTTTTTTCACGTGTCAAACCGTACAGCGCCTGACCCCTGTTGTAGATGGGTAATTTAAAATTTTTGATAACCCCACCAGCAATATT